TATGGATTGTTATAAGAGCTGTAAGAGCCCCCAGTAAAATTATCTTTTAAAAAAAAGTACCAAAGAAGAAAAAAACAATAGGGACTCAATCATAGATTTTCATTTATTTTAAATCATAGCAGCAAACAATAAAAAAGAAAGAAAGAAATATTGAATTGTACAATTAACATTATCTATAAAAAGAGCAACAGGGTGATAAAACATATCAACTTTCTGATATCCGTTAAGATTAGCAAAGAATGGATGAAGGGGTTTTCATTATTTTTTCTAAATACACTTAATAAATTCTTTGAACCTTATTAGATTTATCTGTATGATTAGTTGGCTGTTATCTGTTCATCTATATATCCTGTGGAACTTCTGCTGAGTCTGGAATTGAAATCTAAGCTCAATTTCATTACATACATGGTAGATATAGAGCAAATGGAAGTCATATGCTCTTAATGAATAAATATAGAAAAATGCTTCACAATACTTTTATTTTAATAATAGTGTTAGGTGGGCTTTATGTAACTAACTTTTATCTAGCTCAGGAAAGGGAATATTAGTAGATGAATTCTCAGTTCAGAGAAAGTTGGAAGGTAAGAGATCCCCGAGGAACATGATATAAAAGTCATTCCAGATTTTGGCTCTGTTTAAAACACAGAGGTGAAAAGTTTCCCAGGACAAAGGCAACTCTTCACAACATATATGTGCAACAGTGGAGAGGATGCATACGCACTAATCCTGCTCATCACAATAAATAAATTAATCAATGGGACTTCATTTCAGATGTAAGGTAGAATCCAGAGTAAGCCTTACCTGTGAAGAATCTGGTCTCAGATATGATGTCAGTAGAGTAAGTATATTTGAAGTTAGCTACTTTTTAAATTTTCATTTTTAATGTCATTCTAATTTAAGACTATGATTTCCTATATTTCTGTGGGTTTTTAATACATAATTACTGAACTTAGAGTACTAAGAATTTTAACCCCGAGCAAATCTCTGAGATTTATACAGAGTCTCACTTACTAACCAAAAGGGCTTCCCTTCCAAAATCTCAAGTCCAGGACACTTGGGTTGGGGAAGAACTAGGTTTGGAGTCTTCCATGTTATACTGACATTTTCTAGTGACTTTTGGGTTATTTTGGATTATTTCTCATTTCCACATTTAACTGAAGGGGTACACATAGGAAAATACAGTCATTCAGATCAATGGACTTAAAGTACATTCCAATTTGAAGACAAAAGAAGTTAGATTGATTTCTACCTATAGAAATGTTCAGTTGATTTATGTTTTGCTGTGTACCTATATTTTCAATAATTAAGAGAGACAGACAAAAAGTGATTAATATATAAAGTCAAATGCCTTTTGTAACCACTTGGTGTATCTATATTTCTTTGTGTGTGAATTGATTCATTTTAAACAATTTTATTTCAAAAATTTTACCTTTCTTAGTCTTTTCAAAACTAATGTTACTAACATAAACTCTCTCTAATAAAGAAGTTTATTACAGGCTTTTAAGTTAGATAAACCTCAGTTTATGTTCCAGTTTATAGTTGTATGACTTGGGAAATCAGATCTCCTCATTTGTAAAAATGGCAGCAAACATTGTGGTTATTAAAACAGATAGTTTAAAGCTGCTTAGCATTTTTAAACTGGTGTATGCTGTGCTACTTCATTACATTTTAATCCCTCAGTTTACATTCCTATAAGGCAGAATTGGAAAACAAAAGCAGAGAAGAAAACAGAGGAAAGAAAAGACAGCAATGAGAAAAGAAAGAAGGAAAGAATCATTTTACTTTCTGGTTTAGGGATTACTCTTCCCGCCCACTGAGATGAATTTAAATAACGAAATAAAACATTGGTGAAGGACAAGTGAACTGAGAATATGTATTTTCTCCAGGAAGGACAGGTAGGAGTAAAACCAACTTTCATGCATCTATAATTTAACACAGTTTCAAAACATACTCCCTTTTGCCATAGAAAGACGAGGACTAGTCAATATAAGTAAGAATTAACTTTTTTCAGGCCATGGTATATAAAATTTTGCTGAAACAGCCTCTCAGGGGGATATTTAAATGAAAACAAGTGTCCAATACAAGCATTGTGCAGCCAGTATTTGGGATTTTCTTTCAGGAATAAACACGTTTGCTGGAATCATTTGATGAAGTTTTTTATAATAGACTGTTTTTAATAGACTGTTTCAGTTCAGACTATTAAATTTAGCAATCAATGGTTAAATTTCAATTTAACAATCAGTGGTTGCTGAGAAGCATGTTTTGTATCAGAAATGGAGTATTAGAAAATACACTTGGGAAAATTCTGATAAGAAGGAAAAGTTTTCAAATATATTTTAGACCTTAGAAATCAAGACAAATCATTCTGTTTTCCTATAGTTACATTCAAGTCTTGGAGAAATTGTTTGAGAACATTATGATTTCCAATTTCCGAGTTTGTTTGATACCAATAAGAATTGTGTGGTTCCATAAGTAATGTCCTTTACTTTCTTAACTTAGCCCCATTTCTTAGCTACAAGATTATGCCCTTTCCAAAAAAAAAAAGCTTTTAATTTACAGTTTTGAGCTTGTACAATGGTAAGGATTGTTCTTTTGTTTGGTTTTTATCAGAACTGTTTATCCGCTCTCTAATACTTGACCACTAAATTCTCTTTTCCATTCTGAAGTTCTCAAGTCATCTCTTGCTCTTCGGGTCCCATTGCAATGAACTGAACTAAATGGAAGAAGCAAATCAGTCTGTGGTCTCCGAGTTCGTTTTCAGTGGGCTTTGTGATTCAAAGGAGCTCCAAGCCTTCCTCATGCTGCCATTTTCAGCACTTTACCTGATGACAGCTGCGGGCAACCTCCTTGTTGTGCTATTGATCATTTCAGACTCTCGTCTCCATTCCCCAATGTACTTCCTTTTGGCCAATCTCTCATTTGTTGACTTCTGTCTTTCCTCCGTCACAACTCCTAAACTAACCACAGACTTCCTAAAGGATAATAAGACCATCTCCTTTGGGGGCTGCATGACTCAGATTCTCTGTGTACATTTTTTTGGAGGTGGGGAGATGGTACTGCTTGTGACAATGGCCTACGACCGATACGTGGCCATCTGCAAACCACTCCATTACTCCAGCATCATGGACAAACAGAAGTGCCTCTGTCTAGTTTTGATATCATGGATCATTGGTTTTGTGCATGCCATGAGTCAACTGGCAATGATTCTGGAACTGCCTTTCTGTGGACCCAGAGTAATAGACAGCTTTTTCTGTGATATTCCATTAGTAATAAAACTAGCCTGCATGGATACCCGTACCCTGGGAACACTGATAAATGCTGACAGTGGGGTTTTGGCAACAACCTGCTTCATTCTCTTGCTGATTTCTTACACCTATATCCTAACAACTGTTCACCTTCACTCTAAAGGTGGAGCATCAAAGGCATTGTCTACCTGCAGTTCCCACATCACAGTGGTGGTCTTGTTCTTTGGGCCCTGCATCTTCATCTATCTGTGGCCACTCAACATCACTTGGGTGGACAAGTTTCTTGCTGTGTTTTACACAGTCATCACACCTGTCCTGAATCCAGCCATTTACACATTGAGAAATAAGGAGATTAAAAATGCCATCAAGAGACTGGTAGATCAGCATATGGATTCAAGGGATACATTTTAGAACACTCGTCTATTCAGAAAATCTCCTTTATTTTCCCTTACTTGGCCATTCTTTGACCTGGTCACACTTTACAGAACTTGTTCACACTTTACAGACCCTGTATGGTTTGTGTTTCAATTACTTTATGTAATATAACCCTAACTTAGCTAGAAAACACTGATGCTGTTTGTATGATCACCACCGAGTTAGGAAAAAAGATAAACAAAGCTAACCATAGTATTACAAGTATAATC